TTTTTAACCCACTATGAGCTTTACATTAAAAGTGAATTTCTTACTAATTGGCATTTTGTAAAATTTTGTTATGCTTACATTTTGCTTAAGTTGTTTGGGTTTTCTTTCTGATGTTATCATTATTAACATTTTAAATTTATTCTTCATTCCTGTTTCATCATCATGTAAATTTTATACTAGATCACAACTCTCCAGTTATTACTGGACATCAGTTCCTCCTGTCATTACCCATGTTGCCTCTACCATGTGAAAATAGCTATTATCAAATAATAAAACATGTGTTGAATCTACATGGTTTAAGAGAGAAAATTTGGTGTGCTTCTACCCTCCCTACACTCCCCAACACACATATAAAATATCCCAACTTTTATTGTTATAGTAGCATGAGGGACATCTCATATGATCACAGTTGAAAAGGGGAATAGGGCATCTTGAGGAGGTAGAAGGAAGACCTTCCAAGGTGAACTGAAAGAAGAAATGCTTACAAAGATTTCTAGGCCAAATTCTTTTTGAGACGCCAAGATCTACAAATTGAAGAAGTTCATTTGGCCACACCTTCAAGATGAGTTTAAGCCCCTGGTTTCTGGTACTCACTGGAATTCCTCTGGGACATCCCCGGGCTGCCAGAGTCATGGAGATCCTGCCGGTATTGTTCCATAGGAAATAGACCTGTGACTTAGTGCAATGAACATTTGCTGGTAAAGCTGACTGGCAGAAGGGTGTACTATGTGATACACCTCTCCCAATGCCAGCAGGACGAATGGAAGAGGTGTGGGAGAGGCAGGAAAGAAGGAGAAACAAAGACTTTTTTTTTTGTTCTTGCTTTTGTTTGTTTGTTTGCTTGCTTTGTTTTGCTCTGGTTTTGATTTAAAAAAATTGTCTTTTGGGGTCGCTGTAGAAATGAGGGGAGGATATGGGGGAACCAGGAGGTGAGCAGAATTAGAGTGTATAATGTGAAATTCCCAAAGAATCAATCAAGAAATTATATTAAAAAACTCCAAAATAAAAAAAGATGGGTTATAGCCCCGTGGAAAATTGTGTATTAGTGAAGTTAATTAGTGGATCATCTCTGTGGAACTATGGGTATAAAGACCAAGGAAGTGCCAAGATGGCTTAGAAGACTAAGTAGGAAAGGAAATCATTTTTCCAGGAATGGAAAATGTAAACCGTTTTTTCATAAGTCAGAAATGAGACAGGATGTCCACTTTCTGCACTTTATTCAATATAGTGGTTGAATTCTTAGATGGATATTAAGGCAACAGAAAGAAAAGGGATGTAAATTGAAAATAATAATTGCCCTCTGCTAATTATATGATCCTATATGTAAAAGACCTTAAGGACTACACTACATTATAGTTCTGGTAAACACTTAGAAAAACAGGACGATTAAAAAATGAATATTAAAAAACACACTAGCAGTTTTATACAATAATAAGTAGCATAATCAGAGAAAATCATGAAAGCAATTCTGTTCACATTAGAATAAAATTGAAATGAAAATAACCATGAAAGTGAAAGATCTATGCAGTGAGAATTTTAACAGTGGAGAAAGAAACTGATGAAAACCCCAGATGATGGGAAGATCTCTTAGGTTCATGGGGTGTAAGAACTAATGTAGTAGAACTGGCTACATTAACGAACATGATCTAAAGACAAAGGCAATTTACCTTAGCATTCTGTCTTACCTACCTTTCCGTTGCTGTGAAGAGACAACACGACCCAGGCAACTTGTCAAAGAACGAATTTAACTGGAGGGTGAGTCCATGAGCATCATGGCGGGGAGCATGGCAGGAGGTAGGCAAGAAAGGAACTGAAGCAGAAGCTAAGAATTTATATCCTGATCTGCAAGCAGAAGCCAGAGAGAGAGAGAGAGAGAGAGAGAGAGAGAGAGAGAGAGAGAAGGTTGGGCCTGGTCAAAGCCCACTACCATTGACACATGTATTCTCACAAGGCCATGCCTCCTAAGCCTTCCCCAAACAGTTTTACCAATGAGGGACCAGACATTCAAACATATAAGCCAGTGAGGACCATTTTATTTAAAGCACCACACATTTCAATGACATTTTTTTTTACAGAAATAGGAAAATATTTCTTAAATTAATATGGAATCACAAAAGATCTAGTATAGCTAAAGATATCCTGAGGAAAAAAAAAGAACAATGCTAGGCATATCACAACAGTTGATCTCAAATTATGTTATGGAATTATAGTAACAAAAACTCTGTGGTATAAAACCCAACAGAACAGAGCATGTACACACCTATGCAACTGTAGACATCGGTTTCAATACAGTTCCTCAAAAAGAATATACATTGGAGAAGAGAAACTCTCTTCAAGAAATGGCAATATTGTTCATTCACACGTATAAAACTGAAACTAGAATCTCATTTCATTCACCTTGTACAAGAGTCAATTAAAGATGGACCCAAGACCTTAATGTAGAGCTTGACTCTTTGAAACTCCAACGGGAAATCATAAAGACACTTTGGTAGCAAAAATGGATAAATAGAATTAGGTATGTGTGTAATATAAAACCTTCCCATTTGTGTCCCAGCCAGCATCCTTAATACAACGATTGGAACATTGATGCAATCATTTATTTTCTACAATCAGATATTCAGTCTACTCCAATTGAGGAGCAGTTTAACATTTCACACACTTTTAAAGTTTCCTTGTGATTAAGAGAATTATATTAGTATACCAACAAATACCATTCTTGAATAAGGGAATGCTAAAATCATAAAGTATATATAATAAATATGGAGTTTACCAATCAGATTCCATGCTAAATTAAATCAAATTAACTGAATGAAGAAAACAGAGTAAAAATCAATCAGTGAGTTATCAATTAAATTTACCTGGATTTTTTTTTTTTAAATACTAAGTTGAATTCAAGGGTTTTGCTAATTGTTTCTCAGAGCATAGTGTGTGAAGATGTTTTTAGTGAAAGAAACACACTGAAGTAAACACTGTTGCTGGGACAGAACCTTCTGCTTCTCAGGACTGGAATTATTTGAGGTTGTGTGTTTTGGGTGGTAAAAGGGCGGTTACCTAGCAACAACCCCTCCTCCCTTGTCTGCACAGCAAGAATCAGCTTGGGCATGTCAGTAAATTTATTACTAGTTTGCTAGATCTGAAAGAACAATGCGATAATGTGGTAGGGCGTATTTCTCAAGCATAAGAAACTTACAGTTTTTTTTCTCTGTGGATTCCACTCTTTATCTGATGTTGCCTGAAGCTTGTCTAGAGATTGTATAAATGCTGAAGTGATATTAATCAAATGAAAAAGAAAGAAACTTCAGGTTTTGATTAATGGCATTTATTTTCAGTTTGCTTTTGAAGCAAGCAATGAAATAGTTACAATACCATCAGCTCTGGGCAAGTGGTCATCTTATCTCTTTGGACCCTCTGAAATAAGGCAGCACACAATGGGTTGGGTTTTGGAGAAATACTGTTTAAGAATCCAGACAGGTTTTATTCACCATTTTACCATCTGAAGGTATAGTTAATGAGGCACTAATTTTTATATAACATACACAGAATATACTTCTGTTTATCACAAATGAGCTCAACCATATGTTACAATAACTTAGATGGGAAACATACACTTTAATACAATTTGCATCATATAATCAGATTACTTTGAAAAACATCCCAGCTGAATGCCACTGCCATTTGATGGAGCAGTTCCACTGGTGTGTGCCCAGGGCTGAGAAGGCAGCTATCGCGAATGATCAGATTGTTTAGGACACTGCCACAAACACTACCATGGGAAAATTACACGCAGCAACTTAGTTTCTGTGTTTTCATAGCATGAGTATGTAAGGCTTGAAAAAAAATGGCTATTCAAAGAATGCTACAGTGCCAAGTGTGTGGGAGCTGATCGGAAGGGAGAGAAAAGAGCCCGCGGTTTAGAAAATTTTCCATGATGCAGAGGGCTGAAACCAACATCTCCCCAGACACCCCGCTGACGCTCGGGGCAGCTGTTCTCCAGTGTTCAGACACCTGTCTCATGTACAGTAGTTTTCTGAGACATCCTCATGCCTCATCTTCCTTCAACACAGCACATACTGAATTCCATTTGTTTATTGAATTTCAGAGCAAAGGACATTGGGTGTATCTGTGAGACATGAAGTAATGGGTGCAAGTCACAGCTGTATGTTTCTTCTTTGTAAATCTGCTAAGTGTTCATTTTAAAGAGTAATGCCCTTAAGATTCAAATTAATAAAAATATGAGATCTTATTTTTCCAGATCTTCATTCCAAAGACTAGCATTCCTTTGAAAGTAACTGGTAATAATATTATTTCAGAATTTGGTCCAGTTCTTGTAACTTGTTTGCAGAAACCCAGTAGATTCTAGGGCCTTTGACTGTAAATATGACTATATCAGCAGTGTCCAAATATTAAAAGTCATGTCTGAGAATAAATTTAACACAGTCAGAATTAATTCCAACTCTTCCCAAGAACCTTAACTGGTCAAATGTCAGATATTAAAAGGAAAATAGCTGACAGATCAGAAAACATCAGGAACATCAACCAAATGTCTAGACTAGAAATTGTTTAAATATAAGGGATGGTAGAGGGAACATGGTTTTTTAAATATATCGATTTGCAGTGGATTTCCCTAAAATGTGATAAGTATGACAAACATTCAATAGTTCACAGAATATTTTAGGAGACAAGGATGCATTTTACTGTGGGTATTTGATACGGACATTTTCCTGTTCCTACTCTTTATTTCCTTTATAAATTATGATATTCTGATAATTAGGCCACATTTATTTTAATATCTGTAGATGATCAAGAGAATTTCGGATTAAGAACTGTCAGGGATGTGTTTCGGGACGCTTCTCCGCGTGTCTCTGAGCCTGACAGAATAGCATAGTTAATATCTAGTAGCCCAACAGTTAAAATAATTGGTGAGTGTGCGCTGAATCCTCAGGAGAGGAGGGAGGGTGCCAGAAGGAGGGCGAGGAGGAGCGGCTGAAGGCGGGAGGGGGAGGGCAGGTGCTGATTTCAGCCCTGTAGCGTCAGGATTGCGTCAATTCGGGTTTCTGCCACGTCTGGAGTCTCGGAGACAAGCTTTTCAGAAGAGCCCAAACAGGAACAGGGCAGGGTTGCACATTGCTGATAGCAAGCGCGGACCTTCCTCCAGCCCCTCCCGCTGCCGGTGCCGGTCCCCGGATCGGCTGTGTTTCCCCGGGAAGCCTTGTTCCAGGGTCCTTCCAGGTGAATCTGCCTGGAGTTGCTTCAGCACCTCGGACAGAGCACGCAGAAAACATGGCTCCTATCACGACCAGCCGCGTGGAATTCGGTGAGCAAGTTGCTGAACTTGGGGCTGTGGCTGGGCTCGGGGCTGTGCTGTGCTTTGCTCTCCACTGGATGTTGAATATGTATATTTTCAAGTAGCTAATTTGAAAGGAAGACGAGAGCAGCAGATGGTTAATTGTGGCTTACTTCCTTTTATCGGTATCTTTCTCCTTAACATCGCCTTCTGTGATTTCACCTTCCAGAAGTTCCCGAATGTTCACTCAGCTCTGTAAGCCTGAGCTGAGGAAAGACAAGGACATCTGTTGTTAGAACGCTGCTTCATTTCTTTTCTGGATGGTTCCTATTTGTGTATAAATCTTTTAAGGAAAGCCACACACACCTTTGGTTACATAAGAGTTCGATATGTCATAAAATAACTTGTGGGTTGAGGATTTGGGATGAGTATTTTATTGCACTGTCATATTTTTTTTTTTCTGTTATATTTTCTTGTATCCCTGAAGTATGTTGCTAATGACAGGCAGAATTCTGTGATAGCATAGTTCTGAGGACTTTGAAACCAAACTGGCTTCGGCCTGCTTCATGTCCCTGGTTGAGCTTTCTGGAGTCCAGCACTGTGCACTTAAGTAAAAGCTGCTCAAAACTTGGATTAAGGATCCTGCTTTCTGGATTGCTTTTCCTGTTCGTATTTCAAAATTTTGTCACCATGGTCTCCTTGTCTGCTACAGCAAATAAACTAGACGTGCCTTTTAGAAAATCAATTCACATGTCTAGGTCCAATTATATTCTACTGGGAAAAGACCAGGGTTTTTATCTATAAGTATTTTTTAATTAAAGGATGGAGAAATTTCAGAATAGTATCTCTAGATGTATCATAATTGTGATTAAAATGAGGGATATGGTATAATCTCTGCCCTCAAAAGCTAAATACATTGTCAGTAGTTACATTAGCAGAACATGAGTCCATGTTATCTTGGGTGTTTTGAACATTAGAGATAATAAAATATGCATAAATGATTTTCTCAGCCTTTCGTCATTGGATTTGTATGTGTGTATGGGTGTGCGATACACTCAGTTCTTGATTTGAAATCAGAATTTTTTTCATAGTTAGGCATCTTCAGAGACTATCCTTGTGAACATGTGGTCATGTCCAGTTGTCTGTCTACTTAGAAAATATTGATTTCAACTGCTTTTATTGTTCTTCTTATATTGGTTGAAGCATTTCTTAGTTCCTGAGTTTGCGTTTGCTGCCTTGCTCTGAGTTATTAGATTGTGTGTGTGTGTGTGTGTGTGTGTGTGTGTGTGTGTGTGTGTGTGTCTCGGGTGGCGGGGGGGCACAAAGATTTGAATAGAAGGGAAGAAGCTGATACTGTTTAGTTGATTAACTCTTCCTCCTCCTCTTCCTCCTCCTCCTTCTTTTCCTCCTCCCCTCCTCCTCCTTCTCCTCATCCTTCTCCTTCTCTTCTTCTCCTCCTTCTTCTGTAGCATTAACTTTTTTCCTATTTAGGAGACTCACAGCTTTACTTCATTTTTACACTATTCAATTTAGTCATACAATTGAGTTATGGAATTTTTTATTGTTTTATTTTTTTAACCTCACATATTTCTCTTACCATTTCTCCATTTGATTATCTTTGAGTTCATTTTTATTATTATGAAGTAAATGCTCAGAATATTTAGGATATGGAGAAGGGACATAAAAAAGATTGGTCTTCTTGATCTTAGAAAGTGTTAACTCCTTTTGGGCTGGGGCTTTTATGTTTAGTATTCACTATTTGAAATGAAACATGGATAAAATAGAGTTAAATGTGCATAATGTGTCATATTCACTTTATGCAAAGATCTACTCAGTTGCTTCACTGCTAGATGTGGTAGTTCAACTACAAATAATTGTTAGAAGAATCTGCTTACATATGAAATGATATGTGCTTTAGGCACAATCACTGCTGGCATGTCACTTGATGCCAATGACTTAATGTGTTCAAAGTTAAGAAAACAATGTCCTTTTCAATTTTTCTCACCTTTTGCCATATAGAAATAGACAAGGGTAAAATTGAACTCTAAATTATCTATACTCACTTTTCACTCACATTTTGGGAATGATTATGGATTTATGGCCATCATTTGCTTTTAACCCACATAGATTAGTTTGTGCTTTGGATAAGCCAGTGCTTGAAGAATTTTAAGTTCATATTTACAAAGGGATTATAATATTATACTTATATATTATTATCAAACTATTGTTTTTCTTTTACTCTTTTTTTATCTTTATTAATAGATGTTTATCTTTTTTAAATCACATTCACACAAAGAATAAAAAAATTAATGGGTTTGTAACAATAACCAATGGACAGGGTGTTTTTTTTTCCATAATTTTTTACTTGTATAGACTACTGTCTTTAGGTATTCTTTTTTTTCCTGCTTGAATCCTGGGTGAATAGTGATGTATTAAAAAGACAGAGTTCTCCAATATTTGTTGGTTATATATGTATATAAATGCATATATATTCATAATTAGTAGATTAATGCTTTTAGAAAGCCTCAAAATGTCAATGAAAAAGAAACAATGAAAATAGTACTTTCTCATATTATTGTAGTTGACTCATGATATCTGAGTAAAACAAAGTTAGGTGAGAATATTAAACATGACCCCATGTTTGTTCCAAATACACTTTTTCATTTATTTATGAAAATCTACTGAAGTAAGGAGTTTTAAATCATAATATATTTCATGTGTGTCACATAGGGCTATGTATAGACCTCAAGTTAGTGGGAAATATTACCATTACTCATGCCCAGAACTGTGGGGACGTAATTCAATCTTCCCCACTTAATAGTAAGATCTAGCTCTATTATGCTCTTCCTATAGTCTCCCATTTCTATTCTGGTCATTTAATGTATGTCATTGGTCATTTGGCTTTTCAGATGAAATTCCCACAGTAGTGGGGATCTTCAGTGCATTTGGCCTTGTCTTCACTGTTTCTCTCTTTGCTTGGATCTGCTGCCAGAGAAGATCATCTAAGTCCAACAAGACTCCTCCATACAAGTTTGTGCATGTGCTGAAAGGAGTTGATATCTACCCTGAAAACCTAAGCAGCAAAAAGAAATTCGGAGGAGATGACAAAAATGAAGTTAAGAATAAACCAGCTGTGCCAAAAATGTCATTGCATCTTGATCTGGAGAAGCGAGATCTCAATGGCAATTTCCCCAAAACCAACCTCAAAGCTGGCAGCCCTTCTGATCTAGAGAACGTGACCCCAAAGCTCTTTACAGAGAGAGAAAAGGAGGCCATTTCCCCCGAGAGCTTGAAGTCTAGTACTTCCCTCACTTCGGAAGAGAAGCAGGAAAAGCTGGGGACACTCTGCTTGTCCCTAGAGTACAACTTTGAGAAGAAAGCATTTGTGGTGAACATCAAGGAAGCCCAGGGCTTACCAGCCATGGATGAGCAATCCATGACCTCTGACCCATACATCAAAATGACCATCCTACCAGAGAAGAAGCATAAAGTGAAAACCAGAGTGCTGAGGAAGACACTGGACCCTGTTTTTGACGAAACCTTCACGTTCTATGGTATTCCTTATCCCCACATCCAAGAGTTGTCCTTGCACCTCACAGTTCTGAGTTTTGACAGGTTTTCAAGAGATGATATCATTGGAGAAGTCCTGATTCCTCTTTCGGGGATCGAATTATCGGATGGAAAAATGTTAATGAATAGAGAGATCATCAAGAGAAATGCTAAGGTAATTCTTTAAGCATTTAAAGCATTTATAAAGAATCTTTAGTGCAGCTTTCTAAAAATCTCTCTGGTGTTTTCATTCAAATGATGAGTTGGTATACATTGTCATTAGTTACTATAGGTGACAGCAAACAGAGAATAAGAGAATGGAGCAGGTGAAAAGAAATTTAGTACAACTGAAATGCTCAAGGAATCTTAATGATATAAAATAAGAAGCCATACTTTTATGATATTTATACATCATTTATGTAAAAGACATTTTTTACTTTCTATTAAAGTATTTTGAAGAAGACTGCTACTTTAAAATTTATGTATATGTCTCTTAACATAGGTTATCAAAAGTGTTTCAGGGCCAGGGTAGCTTAATTTGAAAGTGAAATTAAAAATTAAACCAATTCCTTCTCAGGATGTGGAATTTGAATGCAATGTGGAATTTGAATGAAACTGCTTTTGAACAAGGGGTCACCCTGTTATGTTGACTTATGAAGGTCTATTTTCCTGCTACATAAAGGAAGTGAATTACTCTGCCTTCCCACTTGTACTACTTTGACAATTCTTGGATGATTAGAAAATGACATGACATCAGTTTAGCAAACAGAACCCTTTTCTGTTTTAAATATAGAATGTCATTGATTCTTATAGTGGCATTTCAGAATAATTTATTCTCCCAATACCATAATTGAAGAAAAACAACAATCACGTTATTTAAGTTTTTTTTTTTAAATCACAATATTTTAGAGCTAAAATGTCTTTAGAACACTTTGTAACCACTTTCTGGTCTTCTATGTGTTGATAACAGTGAAAGCCCAGGTCGGATCCAGAGGGTTGTACAGCTTGTCAGAGGTGCTGACTGGTTGGGGCCCCTCAGGAGCAAAGAGCTCCCTGGCTGCCTTTTCGCTCTCTTTGCTCTTTCTTTTTGTGCAGCTGCTTAGTTTTAGGTGGTCTTTCTTAGCTGTAGAAATATAGCCATATATTCTTTTTTTTGGACAGGTTTTTCTTTAGCTGTTCTTAATTGTAAGCAAGTCCCATGTTACTGTTTTGTTAGTTTTAGTTAAAGCTTACACTTAGTTGTCTTAGCTAATGTATTTAATATAAAATTAAATGCAAGTAGCTTGCAATGAAGGAATCCATATTACTGTCTAAAAGCAAGTTATAAAACTTGAGTCAATTCTCTTCAATACTGAAATTCATTTATTTTTCCTTAAATCAAGGAAAGACTTTGACTATGTAGGACAAGAATTCTAACTCCGTCATGATCCTGGTACAGAATAGTGGTTGGATGCAGAATAAGTTTTCTTTGGCTTGAATTCAAATGTCAATGATGCCAATAATAAAGAATTTAAACGAAAATAAAATATCAGCCATGTGATCCTACACATACCAATTGACAGTATTATGTATTATATTACTATTAATAACTTAAAAGACTAAGGATATCCTTAAATAGCAAAAGCCAAAGAAAAAAATCCTCTTGGGAATAGAATATAAATACTCTTCAAAACATGTGTAAGTACTGGGTGTGGTCAAATCCTTGTAAATTTAGCAGCATGTAGTACCTAAAACAACCACAAGATGGCAGGCAATGGTTTTAGTCATTATAGGGCTGCACAAAAGCGTTTTCTCAGATTCCCTAGCTTGCCATATTAAAAACAAATAGGAACATGACATTGAAATAACAAAGCCATTACATTGCTGTATGTTTTGTGATGAGAGTACAAAAACTCAAAACGAAAACTGTCTACTGTGTTTGTCTTTGTTTAGAAGTCTTCCGGACGGGGTGAACTTCTGGTCTCTCTCTGTTATCAGTCCACTACAAACACGCTCACTGTGGTTGTCTTAAAGGCACGGCACCTGCCGAAGTCTGATGTGTCTGGGCTTTCAGGTGAGAATACTTGTGAAATGCCAGAGTCCAGTCTGTGGCTGGCTAATGTATTTCACAATTGTCAACCAACATTGGGCTCTGGTTTTTGTTATTCTCAGTCATGAGTACTGGGATTGTCGATTTTTGTTTCCTTGCTTTGTGGGAAAAATTTGTGAGTCAGTTCTGCCGACACTACAGAGAAGTTCATAGGCCTGTAAGACAAGGTTAGTGAGGAGGGAACATTTAAGCGAAGGGCTTACAGAAAGCAATGACGAACGAGGGAAAGATGCAGCCTAACGCTGCTCAGAAAAAGAGTTTTTACTTTTGCAGTTCAAATGACTTACTCATTCACACTCTTTGGTGAGCTTATTACTTTTCTTCTCATAATATGTACACTTTGAGAATTAAATTTCAGTTTTTGAATAACTGAAAAATAAAATGTTTGTTGTAGATTATGAGAAAGCAAATGGGCTATGTTATGGGTTAAAACAGTCTTAATTAAACTTTTCACCCTTCCATTTCTTAGTGTAGTGTCTTCTTTATATTTCTTAAACACTGTAGAAATTGGGCACAATCATACTTGAAGGACATTTTGAAAACTAAAAATATGTATTTTAATAAAGAATTACTGATGGGTATGGTTATTATTATTTGATTGTAGAAATTGAAGACAAGTTCTTAAAACTTGAGATCATGAAAATGAATAACATATGGACTGCAATAAAAATTATAATTATGTGATAAAGAAAGTTCCATAATCCTAAACCCATTTAGTAAGAATGTCACAGGAGACATTAACTCTGGTAAACTGAAAGCAAATTCTGCAAATGGCTAACCACCTGCAGAAAAGCTAAATTGGAGGGCATGACCAGTAGGGTTTCCAAATCCTGTTCAACACCAAACCAGCCCTCACCTAGAGACAGACTCACCGAGAGCATCAAACCAGCAGCCTCGGATGCTGTCCTCATCCGGCTTGCTGGATTTTGTTATTAGTAGGCAGTGTGCAGCATTCTCTTGCCTTCCCCTTCTTATTAAGCTCTTGTCCTTCTGCTATTGTGGTTTCTTCCCTAATGTCAGGTCTAGAACTGGTTTCTATCCTCCATTATTTCCACTTTTATTGATAAGAGAAAGTTCAAACATATCTATGCTTCCTATTTGTTTATACTTGTTGATGTTGTAAGATGCTCATTTCCACTGTACTGGGGTGACATAGTCAACTAGCCATCTCCTAGGTTGGATCTGCAGCTGATTGTTGCCAACGTAACACCTATGTGTCATTGCAGATCCCTACGTCAAAGTGAACCTGTACCACGCCAAGAAGAGAATCTCTAAAAAGAAGACTCACGTTAAAAAATGCACTCCCAATGCAGTGTTCAATGAACTGTTTGTCTTTGATATTCCTTGTGAGAGTCTTGAAGAAATAAGCGTTGAATTTTTAGTTTTGGATTCTGAAAGGGGGTCCCGAAATGAGGTGATTGGGCGGTTGGTCCTGGGTGCCACAGCAGAAGGAAGCGGTGGGGGGCACTGGAAGGAGATCTGTGACTTTCCCAGGAGACAAATTGCTAAGTGGCATGTGCTCTGTGATGGGTAGTTTCCTGGCCATGAGTTGGAGCTTAAAGATTTTTACTAGGCAAGAAGCAATTTTCTTTCTTATACAAGATTATAAGCTTGTGGCACAGCAAGCTAGTTTTATTTATTTATTTATTTATTTATTTATTTATTTATTCATTTATTTATTTATTATCTATCTATCTATCTATCTATCTATCTATCTATCTATCTATCTATCTATCTATCTATCTATTTATTTTGGTTAGAAGTGGATTAAATTAGTAGACCAGAAAACAGTTGTAAATGTGTATCTTGATAATTTTCTCCTTTATTAGAGGTGTTGGCTAAATTTTCGTAAGATGCTCAGTTTCCCTCTGTGTGGTCTTAAGTGGGCCAACCAAGCCTGTTATGAGTGAGCACTCTAGCTTAATCTCAAGTCACAGGTAGGTGTGCATTGTAGATGATGACGTCACTTTTGCCTTGGTAGCAGAAGTCCATGTGATTGGTAAGAGTTCAAAATGAAAACCACACCTTTTTGTATGAATATTAACCCATGTTTCTTCAGGTTGGGGAGATAAGGTTTTATTTAAATCCAAAGATATTTCAGAAATGTCCTCAAGTCTGTTTCTTAGTTCAATATGTCATGTACAAATGGTTGTCCTATATATCAAAGATATGCTGTCATTTCCATTTGGTTTGTAATTATTTGATACAATCTCATCATAAAAGGGGTAACTTGGGTTCATTTCACAAAGACAGCAAACAAGTTGAGATACTAATTTATTAAAGGGCTGAATTGAAGAACACTGTGGTTGCGATGAGATTTTTTTGTTCCCTAAGATCACATGTGAGTCATGTAAAATGTAACTTCACATAAGAACTATGGTCTTGAATTATTCACTGCCCATTAGAAGCCTCAGTGTGGCCGAAGATACTCCTATTTACCTTTGTGAAATTGTCAGATTATCTAGTGGAAAAAAAATAAACTTAAGCTAGAAATTCAGTTAGGAATACATTTTTTTTAAATAAAAATCTATCAGTGTACAGGTGTATTTTCAAGGCTGTCTTTCCCCCTCAGAGAGGGCATGGCTACCTAAGTTTTTAGCTTATTCTTTCCTAGGAAGACCTAAGCTACTTTAAGAGAAACAAAAGAAAACATGTGTTAAATTCTGTATGTTGTCAGGTTGAAATCAACCACATTAAGTAAAAAGACTAAGACAAAAGACGAATAAGCCTATCAGAATTTACAAATATTCACAAAATACACTTAAGCTGTAAAATTAGCACAGACATGTGTGTTCTGCACTATCTTTGGAGGCCGACTTGTCTTGAGCTGTTATTTTTAAGATAGTTTAAAGAATCGTGTCTTGTGCCACTCCCAGTTGCTAAGCTCTGAAATTCTTGCACAACTTGTTGGAGGCAAGCAGAGCTCTGGAATTTTCTGGGAAGACTTAACTCGATGGTGATGTCTTTATATTTGAGTTGTTAGAGAATCATGAGTGTGACTTAGGTCCAGCTGAATTATTAAATATGTAAGTTAGAGATGATGTCTCCTGAAAAACTTTACCCTTTGAGTCCAGTTTTGTGGCAGTACTTTAGACATTGTTGAGAATGTGTTTGATATCACAGTGTTTGTAAATTCAATGAAGATGTATTTCTGAACTACTTGTCTGTGCTTTTTACGATGACAACAAATGTCCAGCTTCCTGTAAGGAAGTATCTTTCATTCTGTATGTACAAAAAACTGAAATGACCTCTTTCATGCTTTTCCCATACTCACTGTCATCCAGTGACAATGCCATCTCACATCCCTGTCTACTCAGCAGTCTGTGAAGACAACACGGAATGAACTGCCATCATGTGAAGTTTGGGGAGGCCAGAAGGCCTTTGTATGTATGGACGTTTGATGTCATAGGCCATGGAACGCAGTATAGCTTGGAGCTCTAATGTCATGAGGCATCCTTTCCAAGTCTCTACAGAGCGGCAAGAAGTTGATGGTGATCCAGTTTATAGGATGTTTACTGGAAAAGATTTTTTTTTTTTAAATAGAAAACAAGTCTGACAACAGATGCTTTTAAAATAACGTTAAAATGTTTGTAAATAGTTTTTTAGTTTCACAATTTCAAGTGTTTTGAAGGTGATAAGTTGATTAAAACTATTTATAACTGGTTTTAAGGAAAAGGAGAAAAGCAAGAAAAGAGTTGAAACAGGCAGGGAGTTAAGTGATCTCATCGTTTCTGAAAATTGTACTGTTTATAACGTATTACAATATCAATGTGAATATCCAACTCTGCTAAAATTCCTGCACTGTATTAAACATGTAAATTAATTTACTGTCTGCTTAGCCAGGCAAACCACCCAAATAGGGAGGTTGCCGTGTCTGAAGAACTGTGTGATTCAGTAACTGACTTGTTCTGACTTGTTGTAGTTCAGTAGAAGTGATCTGGAGGAAAGCATGGTGTAAGGGAGATGGCGTCTGTTCTTTTGTGCCAGCACTGTATGTCTGTAAGACATGAATAAACTGCTGCTTTTGCCCAAACAATCTCAAGTAAGTGTTTCCTGCCCGTGGTGCCATCCCAAGTCTTATCTTACCGCTTTCTGAGTTTTTCTCTTTTTCTGATAGAGCACCCTCACAGGTTAGGGAGCACTGGAGACTGAGCAACAAGATCTTTCATGTTTGGAACTCTGAATTTTGTCTCATTTTTGACAGTCATTGGAGGCAAACATGCCTAACCTGAAGTGAAGTCCGATCATTAGGAAGCAGAGGCATTGGGCTCAATGGCACATAGACGGACAGGTGAAGGTCGCTTTTGGCATTCCGCACTCCTTCCTCCTTTCTGTTCTTCTCTCTTCAAGGGTGGGGATAGGCAGGAGTTTTGTCAATTGACTTCACTAGATGTTTCTAGCTCTTCTCAGGACATGGTCTTGCTAGCCCAGGTTAGTCTTAGACTCATGCTCTTCTTTCTCCAGTCTCCTGAGTTCTGTGGCTTCAGAGGTGTCCTGCCATAGGCAAAGATGCAGTCTTCATGGGGACAGCTCCTTATTTTCACCTTTGCAGTGAGGGAGACTGAATCCGCATTCTTATCCATGATAGGCCACTACAAGACCACTGTATATCCCTAGCTCTTTCTGCTAGATTCTTCTTTAAAAGTTTTATTTTACAGCCCCACTGCGGTTTCCCCTCCCTCCTCTCTTCCCGTTCCCTCCCCTGCCTCCCCTCTGCCCCACCAAGCTCTCCTCCCCTGTTTCTGTTCAGAAAGGGACAAGCTCCCCATGGGTGTCAACAAAGCATGGCTTATCAGGTTGTAGTAAGACTCAGCACCTCCCCCTTGTATTTAGGCTGGGCAAGGCGATCCAGTTTGAGGAATATTTTTTTCCAAGAACCAACCAAAGCATTATGGGCAGCCCCTGCTCCCACTGTTAGGAGTCCCACAAGTAGACCAAGCCACACAACTATCACATATATGTAGAGGGCCTCGGTCCCATACATGCTCCCTGGTTGCTGGTTCAGACTCTGTGAGTTCCTATGAGGCCAGGTTAGTTGACTCTGCAGGTTTTCTTGTGATTTCCTTTATCCCTCTGGCTCCTACAATCCTTCCTCTCTCTCTTCAGCAGGATTCCTCAAGCTCTGCCTAATGTTTAGGTGTGGGTCTCTGCATCTGTTCCCATCAGTGACTGGAGGAAGGCTCTCTGATGGCAATTGGAGTATTCACCCATCTGATCACAGGACGTGGCCAGTTCAGGCCCCATAGCCACTATTGCTGGGAGTCTTTCTGCTAGGTTCTTAAAGGAGGCCCTTCTCATTATTTTTTTTTCTATTTTTTGTCTACTTTTCCACATTTTCTTGTTTTTACTCAACCATTTTGGTTCCCATTATATTTTTACACTTTTTGTCCTCTTTATTTTACTTTAGGTTTTCCCTACTTATTTTATATTATTTCCTTGTACTATTTTTTTTTTATCATTCCCACATCCTTATACTGCCTAGATTTAATTATTAGAATAGCAAAACAGTACAGATATATTTCATCTTCAAGAAGGAAAGAAAATCTGGGGCAGCTGCAGCAGTCCCATCAGTGTGAGCCTAGAGTACCAGCCTAGAGAATCAGATACTTTTTACAGCATTGACCTGTGTGAAAGTGTGCTATGGTGTACATATGTGGCACAGTGTTCTTGTGAATAGAATGCAACTATAATCAACTGACATTTTTTTTGAAATCATCTGAATCATATTAAGAGTGTGCATTGGTATGCTGAAAGAATTAATAGGCCATTATTACATTTAAATGTTCAGTGGTCTTAAGAGATGCCTATCTTTGAGGCTGGAGAGATTTCTCAGTGGTTAGGGAGATGGCTCAGTGGTTAAGAATACTGGCTGCTATACCAGAGGATCTCAGTTCAGTTCTCAAAAAGCACACGGTGGCTCACAACTACCTGTAACTCCAGTCTCAGGGATCCCAACACTCTCTACTTGCCTCTATGGGCACCAGGTATGCATATGGTACATAGATATACAAGTAAAATATTCATACATATAAAATAAATATTTAAGAAAGATACATATGTTCTAAAAGCATTCAGAGGCATTAAGTATTTTCCAAGGGAATTTATTATCAGGGAAATGCTGGTTAAAACTGCAACAGAGGATCAGGGAGTTTGTTGTGAGAATGTGTCTCCTTATAATGTCAGAAGCTATACTGTAAAGTCTCACCATAATTATTGTCTAAACATGAGCTGAACGAGAACAACAATAGATATCAAAGTGAATGGAGGAAAACCCAGGAGGCCTCAACCCTACACAAAGAACTACAGGCAACTCAGGAATGTTGAGGGTGGGAGAAATAGTCTTCTGCAGGGAAGAGCATATCAATTGGTTCTCCAGTATGAAGTGGTCAGCCATGAACATAATTCAAGTAACATTATACAGAATGGGCAGGTTTTATTTATCAATATATATGTGCATGTATGTACATACATGTATCCACATAACAATTAATGAAACATGAGGCCATGAATTTGGAAGAGTTAAGGAGGCATATATGGGACTGTCTGGATGGAGGAAAGGAAAAGGAGAAATGATACAATTGTATTCTAATCTCAAAAAAAAAATGGAAAAATTGCAGCAATAGAAATTGAATTTCTATTATAGAAATAAAATCTCAGAGCATGCCAAATATTGACAAGGATATAGAAGGAACATTCCTCCCTTCATTGCTAACAGAAAACACAAAATAACCGGTTATGTTGGATATAATCTATCATAACACTCATTCATTTTATCATAGTTATATACTTAAGAAAAATGAAAGAACTTGTTCACATATGGATTTTTATATCAGCTTAATTTGTAGCAGTCAAATCCAGGAATCCACCCAAATGGTCATCAGTGGATGAGTAAATAAATTGTGGTATAGCCACAAAATAAAATGCTACTTGGCAATAAGATAAGCAAAACCTTGATGTGTACAACATTTTACATCTTATAATAATTATTCTCAGCACAGAAAGTTAGACATCTTCATTTTCTTCAAAATGTACAGTGTATACATTAGTCTATGTATCCAAAAGGCTAGACATTGCTGTAACGTATAGTGATGAGGAACAAATCACTGCTTGCTTGGGACTGGGGAGCCATTACAGATAGATAAGACTGACAGAGATTAGAAAGGGTTAGGGAGAAACTTTGGAGACAATGACTCTGGTGATTTTCTTGCCTGTGATAGTGATTATAGGAGTATGTATTAAAACTCATCAAATTTAAACGTGTGTAATCTATTGTGTCTAAATTAGATCCCTATAAATTTGTTAAGGGAAAAAAAATAGGAGACAATTGCAGCGAAGTCACAAAGGAATGGACAACACTGGCATTGCCATGTGATGGATGACTTCTGGAAATCAGGGTTCTGTAATGTATTTGGGGAAAATTTTCTGTGTCATTAGGGTACATTGTCCTAACAATTTTCATGAGTACTTCTTAGTCATTTGAAGTGGTTTTTGTATAATTATGCCACCAAATCACTTTACATTTAAGTTATTTTTTTGTTTTTATTTTTAGGAAATTACTTTTTAAAATTGAGTATCTATAGTTTATGAAATATTACATTGTTCCAAAGTTAAATTACAAAGAAAACACATTTTCCTTTCATATCTCCAATACGTTCCCTCTTTCTCCATACTTAATGAGGGTACTTTTCTCAATTTTACTGTAGGTAAGTACATTTATCTAGGCATTTTTTTTCTTTTTACGATATGAGAAATGCTGTGATGCACACTCCCTCTCTGCTCTATTTTCAATGAACAAGGTATCATGCAGGAAGTCCCCTGACTGTAGGTGGTGATGATAATCCTTAATCTAACTTAAAAATCTATGGAGGGCTCCCTTGCAGAAAGGACTTTATATGTATCATGGTCAAACTTACATGCATCAACGCTTTGTCAGAAAAGTGCATTTCCTTCCTCATTATTATAAGCTTAGATCCTTATATGGAAGAAGTGTGTGCTCTGTTGATCTTTATATATCTACAGTGGGTGGGCTGGAGTTTTGCATGCAGTAAATACAATGAGTATTTCCTTAACTAAAGAAATTTGAGCCAATAAAGAAGTTCGATTTGAACTAAATTTAGGAATACTGTTAGAAAGCCGTGTTTACCCATATATGCCTGCAGGAGGAAGGTGGGAGCACATTGAAAGTGTTGCAACAGTCTCTGCTACACTCATGGGTATAACATGCTCCATAGATGGAGAATCTGTGGACAGGATCCATGCAGGGAAATTAGACTGAATTCTCATCCCTAAACAGCCATCCTAACTAGGTAGGAGGTGACAATGCTTAAGTCATGACTGCTGTTCACATCAGGTACTGAACACTGTACTGAGTTGATTTACTTAACATCTCTATTTCTATATTCTTCTCAGCTGGAATTCTTCTGTAGTATGGGTACTACATCTTCAGCATCTGTTCATGGTAGTAAGTCACTCAAACACTTATTAGATTGAAAACTCAAAAGCACACTGCATTTTCTCATTCACGTCACTTCAGTTCACAGCATGGTATAAGATGTAGGCAATATCACTCTACTTTTCACTAATGGTAGACTCCAATGTTGGAATGCTATGTAATTTAAAGCTGGCAGTGATGGGATGGAACCTCAGGCTGCTAAATACAAAACTTCCAGTTTGTATCACTATGTAGACCAGTCTAAGCTACTGAAGTGACATATTTTTTCTTTACTTGCACCCTATGATAATGTTAAGTATATAGAAAATATTGAAAATACTCTTTGAAACAAATTCCCAACTTATCACCACCACCACCACCACCACCACCACCACCACCACCACCACCACCACCACCACCACCACCATTATTATTTTGTGTGTTTGTGTGTGTGACAGTGAGTGTGTGTTTAACACAGATCTGCGAGCATTAAGCAATAGAACTGGGATTTTCTCTAAATGATTTTAATAACTTTGTCAGGATCCCTGTACATTAATATTTGAACGTTAAGATAAATTAGGAGGCCAAATCATAGGACACAG